TGTAGTGCATATAATGGATATTGGAATAAAATCCTTCCATTTTCCCCACTATCTAGTCAGAGCCGAAGAAGTTTCTTGGATGAGAAGCGAAACACCTTCAAAGAAAAACCAGAAAGTCCAGTTGCAGACATGATATCCTTCTGATTAAAATCGGAATTCCGATTTTTTGGGGAATCACCCCCCCTCTCCCCCCTTCTTCTCCTCCTTCCCCTCCCCTCGGAGGCCCCGAGTCAAGAGTTGCTACCGCTGGCACGGCTCCGCGCGGCTTGGGAAGGGAAAGGCAAAAAGGAAGAGCCGCGGTGGTGCTTTGCAACGGCAGCAGCGGCTCCTGGTTTTGTCTTTCCCTTCCTGAGGCAACGAGGGACTGGAGCTGCGCGGAGCCACGCCAGCAGTAGCAACTCCTGACAGCCCCAGCCGGATACCTGAGTGGAGCCCAGGCGGTGCGAAGCGGAGGCTGCTGAGCGGCAGGAAAAGGGAGCTGGGCAGCCACAGACCAGCCTCCGTGCAACACGCCACCGCCCGGCCCTGGTGAGGGAAAGCAGCGGGCGCTCTCCGGGTGGCGGCCTTGGCCCCACCACCAGGGAAACGGCTGCCCAGCTCCGGAGCTGATCCACACCTGACCAGCAGGAAAGGAAGGGTGTGTAGCATTGGTGGTGTGTGCGCGATTTCTTGGTGCGCAGCGGGGGGGTCTCTTGGCCGGCCCCGATTTTTTTTTTAAGGGGGGACTATCATGCCTGAGTTGCCTCCTGGGGGGGAAAAAAAAGGACTTTTGGGACCACCATGACCTGGGCGATGGACAATCTCCATCGACATCTACCACTTGTAACTTAAAATGGTCGCTAAATCCATGGTCGTAACTCAAGGACTTACTTGGATGGTCACACATTTGCAAATGCTGATCACACAGGATTCTAAGTGCTGCAAACCACTGTAATTATGTGCCAGGGGACAAACAATGAGATAAATGTCAGGGGAAAGCAACCAGAGCCACACATGAAAAATGAAAGTGACTAACTTTATTGTTTACCACCTCTATTACAAGAATTTTCCCCAGATTGCTTGCCTTCCCCTTAGGAATGACCAGATAATGCAGGGGTGACCAGATCAAGGCCAGTGTGTCAGGATTCCGGCAGTTACCCCCATTTAAATCATGAGTTGAGCCAAACTTCCAAAACTTCAAAAGGATTTATTGGGAGTTAACATGTCCGGCACTGCCTGGGTGTAGCTCGACTCTGAGGCACCTAATTCATTGTCACCCTTGACCCTGATTTTCTCCCCACCTCCTGGGTGTATCATAATTCCTATTCTCCGATGGGACACATCCTTAGCCAAGAGTCATCAATCATGCTCTCTCCAGTTAGAATTCTGCACGGCAGACACTTTGGTCACCTAGTTAACTATCTTTGAAAACATTTATGGAATGCACTTTCAGTTTGCAAGCTGCCGCACTGCTCTCCCCTCCCTTTCTGCTGGCAGCTCTAAAAAGGCCATAGACATATTTAATGAGTTGACACCTTGTGCCAGATCCATCCTGTGAGGTCCTTAGATCCAGTCCGTGGGGCTACCCCGCGGTGCCCTGCCGAGCTCCATTTTTGCTGGCAGAGGGTTTCAGGGAGCCGTCACAGATGAAAACGGAGTTCAAGAACCCGTTTTCACTGGCAGAGCATTTGGGCCGCTACAGGCACCCCCAACACAAGTGATGTCAAGCAGGCCATGATCACCCCGCCCCCCCTGAGATCAAACCCATCCCTGATGCAGCCCTCAATGAAATCCAGTTTGACACCCCTGAGATAAAGCTGCTTGGATCCTGGGTGTAAGTCAAGCTTATGCTGCTTGGCAGCTGGGTAAGGATGCCAAGCTACCGTATTTTTCAGAGTATAAGACCCTCCAAACTTTTAAGACGCAACTAGCTTTTTGGGGGGAGGGGACACGAAAAAGAAAAATGCCTCTGCCAGCAATTTACCTCCATGCAGCAAACAGCAAACAGCCTGTTTTAGTGTCAGCGCAGTCTGATTTAGGAAAAAGCAGCTGGTTGTTGGTTGGATCGGCTTCCTGATGATCAGCTGTTTCAGGCTGCAGGGATCACCATCACGTATTGCTGCCTCAGCGTGCCCCATTTTTGGCCCCCGCATCCCGTTTTCGGCCTCCTCACCTTTTTCAGCCTCCACGTGCCCCTCTTTTGGCCCATTCCAAGTGGCGGGGATCGAAATGGGTGGAAAACGGGCCACGTAGAGGCCCAAAAAATGGGATGCGGTGGCCAAAAGAGGGATGCGCTGAGGCAGCAGTAGGCTACGGCGATCCCTGCAACCTGAAATAGCTGATCGTCGGGAGGCCGATCCAACCAACAATCAGCTGCTTGTGCTAATCGGGCTGTGCTGAAGCTGAAAGAGGCTGTTTGCTGCAAGGAGACTAATGGCTGGGAGGCAGAGGCCGAAGGGTGGGCGGGGCTTTGGCAACATTCACTGTATAAGCCGCACAGACATTTCCACTCCCATTGGGGGATGGAAAAAGTGCATCTTATACTCTGAAAAATACGGTAGTTCCCTGCTTAATCCCTCCGTCCATCCTGGCAGTTTCCCCCACAGATTCACTCCGCAATGTCTCAGTTGACGAGAGCGGATCTCCCTCCCTCTCCAAACGGCACCTACCTATCACGTAGACTGCAACCTCTTTCGTTAGATTAGATTCTCCCCTTTGGAGGACTTTATTGATCGTAAAGCAGCGGTAGGTCCCGTTATCATCAGGTTCCATGTTGCTGAGGCTGATGCTGAAATCCGTTCTCGATCCTGGCGCGAGCCTCACCCCGCGAGAAACTTGGTAACGCTCCCTGTACGTTAACTTCGGGTCATTGCTCAATTCTTTGTACCATTTTGCGGTAGTTGGCAGATCCATCTGAGTCAGGGTACAGTTGAGAGTGAGGGTCTTGCCTCCTGTGATTTGTATGAACTCAGGTTCGATGCGTAGTCCGGGACCACCAACTGCTGAAATGGAAAATAGCTTCTGTTTATTATTATTATTACCTTTATTGTCAGAGTACAACATGTGCACAATGAGATTGGCTGAGCATCCCTTCATGCACGCCCCCCCAAACACAACTCACAGTGAGTTAATCCAGTCCAACCTTATTACGCTATGTGACCTTGTTGCACAACGCACCGGCCCCGCAAGTCTACTGTGTTGACGCTATTTTCCGTTCAGGAGTCTGGCAGCCGACGGATAGAAACTGCTCTTCAGCCTGTTAGTGTGGCTGGCTATGCTTCCTGGGTGTCAGGATTCGCCATGTGTGCTGGCTGAGAGAAGGTTAGCACTGGAAGCTTCTGCCTTACACTGTTATTTAAAGGTATAAACCCACCCACCTAAATGCTCCTATCTCCTATCCACGCCCCCTAATTATTCCCTTAATCATCCCTTACTCCCATCATCCGGTTTACCTAATAAGCCGACTATTTCCTTCCCTATCCATCGCTCATGATTCCTATCTCCTTGTGAGTAAACTAAATAGTTACACACACACCCATCGCCCGTTCCTCCATCACAGTTACTGGCTGAATGTATAAAGGCAGACAGATAAAACTCCACAAAGGCATCCATACAAGGTCTTATTGAATCATCAGGCTTCCTCAAATATAACTCACGGTTACATCGAGATTCATCTCAGTGTCCAATTCTCTGCATAGCCGACTTATCTTTCTCAGTTCAGCTTCGGCAGAATCATCAAATTCATGTCTAACAATCCATCGAACACAGACAGGAGTTTCCTTTCAAGTTACGGATGGCTGTGGATCCCCTCGCACGTCATGATTCTCCGACGCTGCAGTTGTCGCAATTACCCAGAAGTATCTATCATCGGCAGGGTGCGACAGCTCCTGCAAATGTGCTGATGGGCTCAGATCATCTATCATCATCAATACTGTATCTCCTACCTGATGGTAGGAGAGTGAAGAAGTGCTGACCAGGGTATGAGTCCCTGAGAATTTTCCTCACTCTTCTAAGGCAGCGAGCTCTAGCGAGGTCATCTAGTGGAATCAGGCAACAGCCCACGATGTTTTGTGCTGTGCTCACCATCCTCTGTAATGTCTTTCTACCCACAGTTGTCAAACCAGCATACCACACAGTAATGCTTTCTATGTGAGGATGCTTTCTATTGTGGACTGTTTATCTATTTGTTCTGGAGATCCAAAAGGGCCGTAGTTTGAGCAATGGGATATGTGGCAGGATTATTTAGGTCCCACTTCTGGGCCTGATGCCATCTTACTTTAACACTAGATTTTCCCTTCTGAACACCCAGCCCGAGTAACAGAGGGATTCAATCAAGAGCAAATGAGATAGATAGCACCACCACTAGATGGACCTGCAACTGGCTGACAAACCGTACTCAACGAGTAGTCCTTAATGGGTCTAAGTCTACATGGAGGGACGTAAGCAGTGGGGTGCCACAAGGATCCGTCTTAGGCCCAGGACTCTTCAATATCTTCATTAACGATTTGGATGAGGAAATAGAAGGGGAACTTACCAAATTTGCAGATGATACTAAGCTGGCAGGAATAGCCAACACCCAAAAAGATCGGCTCAAGATCCAGATGGATCTTGACAGACTTGAACCCTGGGCCCTATCTAACAAAATGAAATTCAACATAGAGAACAGTAGAGTCTTACACTTAGGCAAGAAAAACCCAAAGGACACATACAGACTGGGTGAAACCAGGCTTAATAGCAGGAACTGTGAGAAGGATCTCGGAGTCTTAGTGACAACCAGCTAAATAGGAGCCAGTAGTGTGCGTCAGCAGCCCAAAAAGCCAATGCAATCCTAAATTGCATTAACAGAGGGATACAATCAAGATCAAGGGAGGTACTAATACCCCTCTATAAAGCCTTAGTAAGGCCACACCTAGAGTCCTGCATCCAGTTTTGGTCACCACACTATTAAAACGAGATTGAGACTCTAGAAAGAGTGCAGAGAAGAGCAACCAGGATGATGAGGGGACTGGAGACTAAAATATATGAAGAACGGTTGCAGGAACTGGGCCTGGCTAGTCTAGGGAAGAGAAGGACCAGGGGAGACAGGAGAGCATCTTCCAATATTTGAGGGGCTGCCCCAGAGAGGAGGCAGGGGTCAAGCTATTTTCCAAAAAGCCAGACAAAGAATAACGGACGGAAACTGATCAAAGAGAGATTCAACCTGGAAAGAAGAAATGTCCTGATAGCGACAACAATCAACCAATTGAACAGAAGTTGCCTTCAGAAGTCTTGGATGCTTCATTGCTGGAAGTCTACAAAAAATAGCCTGGACAACCACTTGACTGGAATAATATAATGTATCCTGCCTTGAGCTGGGGACTCAACTAGAAGTCCTTCACGGTCTCCTGGTGATTGATCCAAAGTCACCCTGGTTTTCACGCCTAGAATGGGACTAGAATTCCCTATCTCCTGGTTTTTGGACTGCACTTTCACGACTAACCTGAACTGGCTCCTCATTATGATGATCGCTGTATCATTAGACTCTTGGGTTCTTACGCTGCACAAGTTCGAGTCCCCATCAGAGCTGTCTCTGGTTATAGAAAATGACGTATGCAGACCAATAGCTAAATATGAACTCAGCCCTGGAAAACACAACAGGTGAGAAAGAAACTCAAGATCCCCTCCTTTGACTCTCTTTGATATAAGAAGAACAGATGGGGAAACACTTCCATGGTTCTGTTATTATAACTCAGGTCAATAAAGTTGAGTTTCAATGTTTCGGTATTGTTAGTTCCCCAATCTAGCTGATCTCAAAGGACTGACTCTGACATGAAGCAACAGAGCTAACCACTCCCTGACCACATATTGCAACAAAGATGACAGATTTACAGATTAACAGTATTAGGAGGGACCTTGTAGGTCATCTACTCCAACCTCCAGCCCAAGCACCATTTCTGACAGATGTCAGTCCAGTCACTTCTTGAAAGCCTCCAGGGATGAAGCTCCCACAACTTCCGAAGGCAAATTTCTGTTCCATGGGTTGATTGTTCTCACTGTCAGAAAATTTCTTCTTATTTCCAGATTTAATCTCTCCTTGTGCAGTTTCCATCCATTATTCCTTGTCTGGCCTTCAGGTGCTTTGGACAATAGCTTGATCCACTCCTCTCTGTTGCAGCCCCTCAAATATTGGAACACTGCTATCCTGTCTCCCCTTGTCCACTGGGCCTGGCTAGTCTAGGGAAGAGAAGGACCAGGGGAGACAGGATATCAGTCTTCCAATATTTGAGGGGCTGCCCCAGCGAGGAGGGAGTCAAGCTATTCTCCAAAGCACCTGAAGGTCAGACAAGGAATAATGGATGGAAACTGATCAAGGAGAAATTCATCCTGGAAATAAGGAGAAATTTTCTGACTGAAATCAATCAACTCATGGAACAGAAGTTGGCTTCAGAAGTTGTGGCAGCTTCATCAATGGAGGCTTTCAAGAAGAGACTAGACAGCCATTTGTCAGAAATGGTGTAGGGTCTCCTGCTTGGGTGGGTGTTGGACTAGATCAGGGGTTGCCAACCTTTTGGACCTCAGGGACCACCAAACTCATAATTTTATATCCCGTGGACCACTAATATGGATTTTGGCTGCAGGAAAAAAGCCTGCAGGAAAATTCCCCACCCCGTTTTCTTACCAATCGATCGTTCTTTGTTTGGGATCGTAAGATACTGTCTCCTGCTCCGTTCTCGGGGGGCGGGGGAGGAGAGAGAGAGACTGTTGGCTTCATGCAAGGAAAACAGCAGAAGCCGCAGAAGTCTTTCTTTCTCTCCCCCAAACTACGCCAGAAAGGAGTCTTTGCCGGCGCAGCCTCTTGGAGCAGGAGGCCTTGCAGGGTCCCAAAGACTCATTTCTGGGGGAGTTTGGGGGAGAGAAAGAAAGACTTTGGCTGCTTTCCTTGCGTGCAGCCAGAAGCAGAAGAAGAAAGAAGCAGAAAGAAGCAGCCCGGTGGCCAGGCCAGGTGTGTGGGGCGAGTGGGGAAAGTTCCCCCACCTCTGCTCTTTCCCCCCTCCCCTCACTACCTTGTGTTGTTCGCAATGCAAACAACACAAGTCTTGTGTTCCCGCACAGCCTGGAGTAATTGCTTTGTGGGGGACATTTCTCTGCGGACCACCAAGTTTTTCTTTGTGGACCATCAGTGTTCCCCGGCCCACTGATTGGCAACCACTGGACTAGATGACCTACTAGGTCCCTTCCAACTTTGTACCTCTGTATTTGATGGTGTTCGAACTAGAGAGAAAATGCTACGCGAAAATCAAGATACCCAAGGACGACACAAGATTGAAGATGCCACACTCCAGAATTGGAGAGGAGGTGAAGACAACCTGAAAGCGACTTGGTGAAGAAGAAGATCGTGCAAGGACATGTCTTTGAGGCAGGTATAAGTGTGGGCAGCCTTTAATCCACATCTTTAAACAACCATTTACTAATCTCCCTGTCTTCCAGCTGGAAATCTGAGCAACAATACTCACTTATTTCCTGAAACGAACACATCCTCAGGTCTTGGAGAAGCAAGAGGGACCACAGCTGAAATGGACCCAGGATGGTCAAGGAGAAGGACCTCAAGGAAACCATGCTGGTAGCAGTGGGAGAAACATCTGGAGCTATTTCATCTCTGGATCCTCCCCGAAAGCTTTCTTTTCGAGACAAAAGGGGAACTTGCGTTTCCTGCTAAATAAATTTGAACCAATGGCCTCGTTTGGGACGGTTGCCCTATAAGAGAGTGACTAAGAAGAAATTCTGGAGTTGTAAATTTAGAATTCTCAAGACGGAGTTAATTAAACCTAGATGGAGACTTCAGCAGCAATTTCTGTTTTGTTTCACCCAGTTGGGTCATGAAAGGTCTGCAAGAAAACCACCAAGCTCAGATAACTCCCTAAGGACCCCACAATCCTCCTCCCTCTCCTCTTCCTCCTCTTCTTCTTCCTCTCCTCCTCCTCCCCTTCCCCCCCTCCCCCCCCCCACAAATCCCATTCCCTTCTAACACTGATGATGTTACTTAGTTGGGTCGTTGAAACATCTACAAGAAAGCAACCCAGCTCAGAGAGCTCTCTAAGGAACCCACAATCCTCTTCCTCCTCCCCCTCCCCCTCTTCTTCCTCTCCTCCTCCTCTTCCTCCTCCTAAAGCCCACTCCCTTTCATCCTTGATGATGTTACCTCATTGGGTCATGAAACGTCAGCAAGTAAACCACTAAGCTCAGAGAGCACTAAGCCCTGATAAGGTTACCTAGTTTGGGCATTGAAACATCTGTAAGAAAGCAACCAAGCTCAGAGAGCTCTAAGGACCTCACAATCCTCCTCCTCCTCCTCCTCCTCCTCCTCCTCCTCCTCCTCCTCCTCCTTCTCCTCTCCTCTTCCTCCTCCTCCTCCGGAGCAAGTCGCTCCATTCCGAAGGACCCGATAGGCAACCAAACACTTTTTGCCCAGATGGAGAAATGATGGAGACTCAAAACCATCATTGTGCTTGCAGAAGGGACAGTTTGAAATGGAGTGATTAGGGCCGTTTCAAAAGGTCCCCTTTGCAAGCACACAAAACTTCATCTCTCTCTGGGCGAATAGTGCACAGCAGAGCCAGACAGAGAAGATCCCAATACACTGCCCACTCCATCTCACAGCTTGCCTGTGGCCACGTCAGGCAAACACCTTTGCCCAGGGCATTGGTGTCGACCTGGAAGCTGACCTGCCCAAAGCCATTTTTGACCGCTTCAGTGTTGCCACACTAGAGACAAGGGATGGGGAAGGGGGATTTGAAATAGAGGGGATTCTGTAGCTAAAACAAAGTATTTTCTGTTGGGAACCAAGGACATTCTCACACCTGGTCGGAGGAGTGAGGAGTGATGCTACCAGGTTGCCAGATTGCACCATGATTGGACCATAGCATCAGGGTTCCGACCAATGTCCTCATTAAATCATGAGCTTCAAGCCAAACTTCAAAAGAAATCCAGTTATTTATTAGGATGTCAGCACGGACCAAGTGAACCCAACTCTGACCTCACTTAGTTTGCACTTTGGCTCTGACCCTGTCTCCCCCTCCCCCCGAGATGTCTCTTCAGTCACATTCCTCAATGAAGCAATTTCACGGGTTGTAGAAGTCACTCCCTCCGGCCACTGTGGGTTTCCGTGGAGATGACCTTGACAGTACCGGCTGGAATGTACTTTGCTTTGGTCTGTTGCAGCTGTGGAAAAGTAGACCGTGGGATGGAGAGGGCGGGGCCGGTAGTAGCTGCATTCCCGCTTTCATCGGCCCCCGTGTTCACCACCTCCTGCACTTAAAAAAAACATAAGACCTCCCCCAAAATAAGCCCAAGTGCTTATTTTCAAACCCCATAGAAAATAAGACCAGGAGGGCCGGAGCTGGCGTCGTGACGATACAGCATGCGATCTTGGAGGTCTGAGATCGCTGCTGATATCTTTGCTCCTGGACGGTCCTATCGGATCTAAACCATCCGGAAGAGACGGTGAAAGTGAAGAGCACATCCTGTCGATCCCAGGGATACTGCAAAGTCCCTGGTAGATCCAGGAGAAGCTCTTCTTGCCAGCGGCAAAGAGGCAGCCATTAAAGCTGCTGAAGTTGGGACAGCTCCGAAACGGAAGAGAACGGAAAGAGAGAGAGGGCCGGTTTGGTGAGAACTTTTTCTTTATTCTAAGATCTGAAAGGACACCCTAAAGGAAAGAAAGAATCTGTAAAAGTTTTGACAGAAGTGATTAAGCGGCGATTATAAACAGGAATGTCAAAGTAATGTTTTTTCTTCTTCTCATTGCTGGATTTTCTATACACGATCTTATACTTTGAAACTGGACTATTTTTTTTTTGTTTACATCTATTTTTTTTTCTCCTTTTTGATTTTGTAATATTTTAGGCTAGAAGCTCCCTTTAGTTATCTCTTTTTTAAAAAATATCTTTTTCTTTCTTTTTTATTAATTCTTATTATATCTTGCTTGGAAAAGGAGGGGGAAAGTGAGAGCAAAGAAACTTTGTAACGCTGCCAACTAGAGGATTGAAAATATTCTATTTTCCTGTGACCAGACAAAGCTGAGAAAGAAAGAACTGAGACTCTTTTTTCAAGGACATTGTCATTTGATAAGATAGAGGGAAGAGCATGGGAGAGTATTATTGCAGGTGCTCTTCTGGGTTTCTATCAACAGCTGGAGTCTGGTGTTGAAACCGAGGGGGAAAAAAGGTGATAAGTTTTTGGAGAAGAGAGCTATAATAAGAACCTTGGATAATTAAACAAAGTGCAGTGCGCTCTTTTTACTTTTCCTAAGTTGTGCTATCCCTCCTCACCAGCTTTAGTGTATTTCATTTTATCCTTTTTTTGGTAATAACTATTTGGGTTTTTGGCTTTGTTGGAGCTTGTCTTTGTTTTTCTTTTTTTCTTTGGAAGTCCAATCTCTACATTTGTTTTTTATTTTAAAGGGAAAGCCTTTAAGTATTAATGTTTTTTTTTAAGGGAATAGCCTTTTCCCCCCCTTTCCTGGTTTTTTTGTTTTTTCATCTACTTTTCTGGTTTATTCTTCTGCACTCTTTCCTATTTGAGACCTTTTAATTGGCTTAAGGTGTTGAAGAACCTGAAGAATTTTTCTTTTTCCTTTTTTTTCCAAGCCTTTTTCTTCATCTAACTATTGATTGGATTAAGGTATACAAGAACCTGAAGAAATTTTGTCCTCCCCCCTTTTTTTCTTTTTTTTAATCATTATTATTGGGCTTCTTTTTTCTACTATTTTTGTTTTTGAACTATAATTGGTTACTTCACAATTGGATTAAGGTTTTGAAGAACCTGAAGATTTTGAATTGCTTAAAATGAGTAGGAAATTTACAGCTCCTGGTTCTTCAACTTCTACTTCTTCCTCTCCACCATCCGGAGGACAACGTTCAATACAGACAATGTTAAAGCAAGAAAAGGAACAAGAAAAAATGACTCTGCAGGTGATTTTGCAAGGAATTCAAAATATTCAAGCAAGATCAGAGAATATTGAAAAGAGAATAGAGAACATTGAACAAAGAACAGAGAACACTGAACAAAGAACAGGGAAAACCGATGAAAAAGTGGAGAACATCCAACAAATGATGTTGAAGTATGATGAGAGATTCCAAAAAATTGAAGAAGATAAAGAGACAAGAATATTGGAGATATTGATAATAGATTAATGGTGGTTGAACAAGATAAAAGTGGTATGTTGAGATGGGAGATGGAAGAAAAATTCAATCCAATTCAAACCAGGATAAAAACCGTGGAAATAAAATGGAGGCTGGCTGGAAGGAAAGGTCTCTGTTTGTTTGGTTTCCCAGAAACTACACTGACAGCAGCATGTTTCTGGGGTAGCTGACAAAATGGCTGAGTGAGTGGATGGATTTATACAGGGTTCTAGGCAGTGGTGGGATTCACATTTTTTTTTACTACCAGTTCTGTGGGCATGGCTTGATGGGTGTGACAGGGGAAGGTTACTGTAAAATCTCCAGTCAGAGGTGGTATTTGATGATTCTCTGAACTACTCAAAATTTCCGCTACCGGTTCTCCAGAACTGGTCAGAACCTGCTGAATCCACCACCTCTGGTTCTCGGGTTTGGTGATTGAGATGCTCCAGAGGGGTTGTGCAATGCAGTGAGCCTTGTGTCTTTTGCTATTTCAATGGTGGTGGGTTAATCCTCTTCTGTCCTGAAGGTCCTGTCCTGTCCTTGGAGCTGGGGGGGGGGATGTAAATTATTCATCCCATCAGCTCCAACCTTGGGTGGCAGCTTGTGGTTGAAGGCGTTTTGTTTATGAATAGGATGACCTGGTCTTCTTAATAAGTACAAAATATTAATCTCTAAAGACTTCAAGCTTATGCTTGAGGCTATGGCAGGAAGATTGGGGTGGCTTTTTTCCTTTGTTAAGATTTTTTTTCCATTTCTCCTTTGGGGAAATATAATATTCTGCCTCTTTTTAATATGCCCCCAAATATTTCATTCTCTAGGAAGTGGGAGGCGTGTCCCACAATTTAAATGAACGTCAAAATTGCTTCAGCTTACTTGTTTTATTTTTTTAGAAAAAGCAAACCCAAAGAATTAAGGAATTTAACCTTTAAATATCGGTTCCTCTGCGTCACAGACCCAGCAAAACAGTGTGAGCTTGATTTGTATATCTCCATTTCAGTTTTATAGGCTTATAACACGATGGGGTTGCAAGGATGAAGCATTATACAAGTATTTTTAGCAAAGATATGATTAATTCCCTAAGCCAGTGATGGCGAACCTTTTCGTTGTGGTGTGCTGAAAGTGTGTGTGCATGTGCGTGCCAGCACCCACAATACAATGCGCCCCGGTCTCCTGCGCATGCATGTGCAACCCCCCTGCCCCCTTACCTGCACTGCGCATGCACGTGCCTCCCAGCTGTTTTTTTTTTTTTTTGGCCCATTTGAGGCCTTTTTTGCCCTCCCGGGGGCCTGAGGGAAGCCTCTGTAACCTTTGGAGGCTGAAAAATGGGCCCGTTTTGGCACTTCCGATTTCAGCATTTCTGGTATTTCCAGAAGGCCCCTTTTTCGGCCTCCAAAGGCTGCAGAGGCTTCCCTCGAGCCCCTGGGAGGGCAAAAACATCCTCAACCGGGCCGAAAATCAGCTGGGAGGCGCACGCATACGCAGTGCAGGTAAGTTCGGCTGGCGCTTGCAGGCCCGCACAAATGGCTCGGTGTGTCAACTGTGGTATGTGTGCCATAGGTTCGCCATCACGGCCCGAAGCAGATTCATTCTCCTCCTGAAAATCTTTCGGGAGTAGGAACCCTTAACTTGAGTTTTCAGATGGCTTCGTTTCCTGGGATGTTCTGGAGAGGTTTCTTGCACAGTTTTATCAGGAAGAGGAAAGAGACAAGGAGAAGGACGGCTGCTTTGTTCAGGAAAAGGGCAATCCAGAGACTATTGGGAGAATTTGGTGTCCAGCCTGTGGAGAAAAGACAGTGGATTATTTTGATTTAATCCTAATAATGTCTATTCAAAGTGTGGGAGAGGTCTTTGCGGGGGTGGGGGCAGGGCAGATGGCTAGGTGTCTGTGCTAGACCACCTAGGATCTCCCCCATGCTGAGGCACCCCAAATGAGATGATTAAGGGCCTCAGATGAGAGAGAGAGAGAGAGAGAGGGAGGGAGAGAAATAGAAACAAAGAGAGAGGGTGGGAGGACCTGAAATGGGCCGAAAATCAGCTGGGAGGTGCGCGCATGCGCAGTGCAGGTAAATTTGGGTGGGGCTCACGTCCCCGCACAAATGGCTCTGCCATAGGTTCGGCATCATGGCCCTGAGCAGATTCTTTCTCGTCCTGAAAGTCTTTTGGGAATAGGGATCCTTAACTTGAGTTCCCAGACTGCCTCGCTTTCCTGGGATGTTCTGGAGCGATTTCTTGCACAATTGCATTGACACAGTTTTACTAGGAAGAGGAAAGCTACTAAAAGACGGACGGCAATCCAGAGACTAATGGGAAACTTTGGTGTTGAGTCTGTGGAGAAAAGATAGTGGATTGTTTTGATGTAATCCTAATCAATTCTATTCAAAGCGTGGGAAAGGTCTTTGGGGGGTGGGTGCAACACTTATCTGTGTTAAGTATCCACCAAGGATCTCCCGCACTCTGAAGCATCCCACCTGAAATGATTAAGGGCCTGAGATGATTAAGAGAGAGAGCGGGGGAGGGAGTAGGGATGGGATTTTACCAGTTTGCGCCTATTCGCTAGAACCGGTTGTTAACATTCTAAGCAGTTCGGAGAACCGGTTGTTAGAAGAAATTACTGGGCTAATCCTGTAAGGGAGGCAGGAAGGAAACATTCTGGTGTTGCTTATAGAAACTGCCTCTCTGTTAATCCTTATTACATTCTTGGCAGGACTAGACTTCTTGTCTCAGGAACTTCTCTGGAGTTTTTTTTCCCCTCCTTTGCTGTTACTTTGCTTGTGTGGAGTGACCATTCAAAGTTACAATGGCACTGAAAAAAGTGACTTGTGACTATTTTTCACACTTACGACCATTGCAGCATCCACAGTCACAAGAGGCCAGGCAAGGAGAAGTGTGCCTTGATGTGAGTGATGTTGAGTTGTCCACGCCCAGCCAATAACATGACCACCAAGCCACGTCCACCCAGTCACATGACCACCAAGCCCACCATCTAAGCCAGGCCCACAGAACCGGTTGTTAAAATGTTTGAATCCCACCCCTGAGAGGGAGGGAGAGAAACAGAAACAAAGAAAAGAGAGGGAGGGAGGGAAGGTGGAAGGAAGGAAGAAAAGGAAGGGAAGAAGGTAGGGGGAGGTAGGTAGGAAGGAAGGGAGGATAGAAAAATAGATGAAAGAAGAAAGAAAGAATGAAAGAAAAAGAAAAGAAATGAAAATGTAGTATCAATAATCATACTGTAGGTGCCTTAGGTGCATTCCCAAACATCTGGACCACCACTTGAACATCACCACTGGCATTGACAAATACAACATTGGACAATTGCAAAACTTCACTCAGAACACCTTACACCCTATGACGATATCTATTAACATCATCAAACATGCACCTCTGCCTATCCCAGGTCCTTCAGGAGGTCTTGATAGGTGGACAATCATGCCAAATCTACTCTGAACATCTGGCTGATAGTGCGACAGACCATAATGATACACACCACTACAGCAAACTGAAACAATTCTAAGATAATCAGGATTAAATAGTATCTCACCAACAGGGAACTCTATTCATCTTGATGTCAGGGTTCTGGCAGTTCCCCCAATTAAATCATGAGTCTCGAGCCAAACTTCCAAAACTAAACAGGATTTATTGGGAGTTAAAAAGTCTAGCACTGCCTGGATGTAGCCGACTCTGAGACACATCATTCATTGTCACCTTTGACCCTGGTTTCCCCCCACCCCCGGGTGTATCATAATTCATACTGTCCAATGGGACACCTCTATAGCCCAGAGTCATCAATCATGTTCTCCAGTTAGAAATTTGCAGAAACTTCAGTCACCTAGTTACAATCTCTGAAAAATTATGTATGGAATGAGTTAGGAATGTAAGTTGCTTAACAGCTATTTGGGTTGGAAATATATAAACCAGGACAGACATTTTAATACTGTATCTCTAAGAGAATGCAAAAACTGTAATTGGGTGTGGTTCCACAAATGGACATAAGATGGAGCCAGAAACCTGGGTTGTTTTAGTCTCAGGAAGTCTCAGAAGAGAGTCTCAGTGAAGTGAGTGAGTCTCTGTTTCCTTCTGTTGGAAGAGATTTGCCGTTCCACCATTTTTCCTTATTGACTGTTATTCTTGGATTTGATGTAAGTCTGTTACTGAACTGTTTTTGACTCTGGACTTTGTTATTGGATTATCCCTGGACTGAAAACTGACTGATTTAACCATGAATGACTTGGACTGCTTGTTTGGACTGTGCTTAAACGTTTATTGAAAGTAAAAAACCTACATTAACTGTACAGTGTATCTGTGTGCTGTGTGTGTGTTATTCAAACACTTCTCTCACTACGTCTCCCTGTATGTGCTCATTCTCCTAACGGGGAATTACCTCAACAGAGTGCACTTTTGATTTCCAAGCTGCCGCACTGCTCTTTCAAACCCCTTTCCTCCCTCCCTTTCTGTTGGCAACTCTAAAACGTCCATATAAATGCTTTATGAGATGACACTTGACCCATGTCACTGGGGTGTAGACAGCCAGAAGTCTTTCTGAAGACCTACTCCTCAAGACCACAGGTCTGTGAGGTAGCTTGTGTTGAGAAAATGTCGTTGGTGGGCTGAGAAGGTGTCGTTGGTCTCAGTGGGCTTCCATGGGATGAGAAGCTGCCTAGTGCCTTAACTCTGCCATGGAGGGTCCTCTACCAGGTTAAGATTCCATCGCCTCGTCCCTCTCTGTGACCCGGAGCTCACCTACCTCTTACGACTTCACTGAGTCGAAGGTCCTGCTGTAAGGAGTCCTCCAAGGAGCTGTGTCGAACCCGGCATGACAGCACCGACCCCATATCTTCCGGTCTGAGCAAGATGTCCACCGTGCTCTCTACGCAGTACCGGATGCCCTCCTCCATAGTATAATTCAGAATGTCAGTCCGGGCAGCTTGTATTTCATTGCTGTCCTTTAACCAGATGACTGTGATTTCTTGGGAGGGGAATTCTTTTGCAGAACACCTGAAAGAAATCTGGGATCCCACCGTGATGCTGTCTGAAGGACCACGAAGCAAAGGCTGGGAGGGATGGGCTGAGAAAGGAAGCATGAAGACATCAGCTGATGTTCCCTCCTACCAAGATATCATGCCCCCATTGGAGCCTGAATTTGCAGGGGAAGACAAGCTGGAACCGGAGCTGACAGAGATCGACGGGGCGGCTTCGTTGGCTTTGGAGAAAAATGGGGAAGGGCAGGGCCACTCAGGCCGGGGCCTTTTAGGATTGGGACAGTTTGTAGGCAGGGAGGAAAGGGGACAAGATGACCTAAGGGAGGCTAAGCAGCGAACATGAGAGGCAGAGCTCAGGCGAGGAGCAAGGACCACTCCCTCCTGATCCAAGAGCTCGGAGAGTTGGAGAGAAGGCGAGAATAGCGCAGGCTGACCCGACTACTCGGGAGGAAATCACCCCGCCCCTCTTCACAAGGGAATGAGACTTAAGGAGACATTGTGGGGAGGGGCATTTGTCGGGAATAAACGCCGAGTCCCTAAACTTTGAACTTTCCTGGATTCCTTGCAATTTTTTTCTGGCTTTCTGGACATTACTTGGATCCTTTAGTTTCCTGAAATCCTTGATTTGCTCTGTGCAGTCTTGGTGTACACAGTGGTGGGCTGGACTATTTGCAACCAGAGGCTATTTGAGCAGTGTGTTTATGTGTTTGTATGTGATCACTTTGCTCTGGGACTTGCCATAAACGTGCTGGGAGCATTTGGGGGAGGGGGGGAAATTTGGAGCACCAAAGGTGTGGCTTGAATCACCATCTGCCTGTGGTATCTCTGTGCTGTGCCCCAGGGTCATCACACAAGTCTTCCCTCCTGCCTCAAATTCCCCGAGGAATTATCCTCATCCAACAAATCACCCAGAGGCCAAAGGAGTTGGATATTTCTTCCCCAAATTCCTTAATCTCAAACATTTAAAGAGCACCGACCAATCACAGAGACCACCGATTTGGTCTTGATAGATTTTCTGCTTTGGGGACCTTCCTTGACCAACGAACAGCAGTAGGTCCCGCTATCTCCAGGGCTGATGTTGTTGAGGCTGACACGGAAGTCCGTTTGCGATCCTGGAACGAGCCTCACCCCGCGAGAAGATTTGTCACTTTCCCTGTAAATTATCTTCTGGTCATTGCCCAGGTCTTTGTACCATTCGGCGCTTGCTGGCTGATCTTTCTGAGTCAGAATACATGTGAGAATGAGGGTCTTGCCTGCTGTGATTGTCACAGGTTCCTGGTTCATAATGGGCCGCCCACCAACTGAAAAGTAAAATGGCTTCCGATTATTATTATTGTTGTTGTTTGTTGTTGTTGTTGTTATTAATTGCACAGTCAGTCAAATGTTCAGACTGGGTTTGGCATTTTTGTCTACCTCTCAAGTCCTTACCCAGGACCTGGGATAGGCAAATCTGGATGTCTGATGGCGTTACAGAGATCGCCGCAGGATGGAAGCTGTTCCAAGTCAAGCTGCCTTCTGCAATTGACCGATGGCAAATTTGTCAATGCCTACGGTTTTCTTATTCTTAACGTTTATGAATGGGCACAGTTCTAGGCTGCCTTAACAGAGGGGTAGAATCAAGATCACGTGAAGTTTAAGTACCACTTTACAATGCCTTGGTAAGGCCACACTTGGAATATTTGCATCAGTGGTGGTATTTTTTTTTTTTTAAACTACCAGTTCTGTGGGCGTGGCTTGGTGGGCATGGCAGGGAAAGGTTATTGCAAAATCCCCATTCCCTCCCCACCTCACTAACCTGCTTTCCAGCTCTGTTCTCCTGTGCAGGGCAACCAAAGAAGACCCAGCAGATCAGCTGGGATTCAATGGCAGAGAAGAGATGGGGTTGGCGGGGCCAGTCAGAGGTGGGATTCGCCGGTTCTCCAAACTACTCAAAATTACTGCTCTCCGTTCTCCAGAACTGGTTAATACCGCCTCTGATTTGCATCCAGTTTTGGCCACCACAATGTAAAAAAGATGTTGGACAAGAAGCAATGGATGAAAACTAATCAAGCAGAGAAGCAAACTGGATTTAAGGAGAGATTTCCTTGACAGTGAGAACAATTAATCAGTGGAATGGCTTGCCTTCAGAAGCTGTGAATGCTTCAACACTGGAAGTTTTTAAAGAAGAGATTGGACAACTATTTGTCTGAAATGTTTTGGGTTTCCTGCCTGAGCAGGGGGTTGGACTAGAAGACCTTCAAGGTCCCTTCCAACTCTTCTCTTCTCTTCTCTTCTCTTCTCTTCTCTTCTCTTCTCTTCT